CCATAACAAAATAAGAATGAGATTATTAAGAGAAAAAAAATAGCTGAGAAGTACAAAGACCTGATTGGATGGGAACAGTGGTTCACTAAGAACTGTTCAAACGACCATGCAAACCAACAGGTAAATACACAAATCACAAAAAGGGAATAAAAAGTATAAGAAAATCATCGGATTTTGACATTTAAAGGGATTAAAATGCAGGTTAATCCAATCATCAGAGAGAGAGAGAGAGAGAGAAAATCTGTGAATTTATTTCCGCTGTTTTAGCACACTAAAAAGAAGAGTAAAACTGAGTGAAATAAAACGAAAATTTTGAAAAAAATATTTCAAATTCATTGGCGCACTTAGAATCGTCCCGAACAGTTCTGAAAAAAAAAAAAAAAAAAAAAGAAAGAATTTCGAAGAACTGGAAAATTTCGGGTAAAATCGAATTCATTCAAACGGCAACTTTAATAAAAAAAAAAAAAAATCAGTTCGAAAAAAACTGAGGAGAAACATAAAGTGACTTGCTGTCACCTGATCTCCTGTGAAAATCCTAAAGTACAACTGCAATGAAAACTCACAAATCACAAGGAATATAAAATTTATATTGTTTTTTTTTTCCTTTAAGGAAAAAGCCGGAATATTTCATAATTTTTTTTTTTTACCTTTTCTTTTTTTTAACACCTGAAAGAAAACGGTTTACGACGATTCTTAGTTAAGCAACATTAACAACCATGGCAATGTCTCTCTAAAAAAAAGTCGGCTTTACTTTTTCTTTTTATCAAACTGTTAAAAAGACAGTTTTTAAGTTTTTAATTAACAAAAAAAGGGGGGAAAGAAAAAGAAAGATGTGTCCATGACAATATTATTGCGCAACCATCACTATTTTCCCCCAAGATCGAAAACATTGAAACAAAATTTAACACTTCAAGTTATTTAAATTATTTTTTTTTTTAAAAAAAAGCGTGGAATTGGTCAAAATTCGTACAAAAAACTAAAAGTTAATGTGAATTGCATTTGGTAATAATCGCTTCTTCTTTGCAATATGAAATTCGTCGATCTAAAAAAAAAGAAGCTTCGCGAATATTTTATATAAATTTTTTATTAAACTGCTTTAATTTAATTTTGAAACAATATTTTTCGCTGTTTTTTTTAAACAAGAGTAATATTAAAAAGAAAAAAAAAAGTACTTATCTACCTGATATGAATGATGTGTTTTTTCGGCTGCCCTTAAATTTGTGGACCATTGTTGCTGAAGGCGATTCATCGTAGAAATAAATAAATAAATAAAAAACAAGAAAAGAAAAGAAAGAAGCTTTAAACTAGACACAAAGCCGTTCCCGGCACAAGTGCGCTTCTCACTTTTTATCAGATTGGTTTTGAAATCTACAATGACAACAAACCCGAAACTTTTCCATTGGTTTAAAAAATTTACATCACAAAATCGGAAACGAATTGAACAATCAATGCGCAACAATTTTTTTTAGAGGCAGGTATCCGTTTTTTTTGTCTCGCATCCGGTGAAAAAAAAAAAAACAAAAAAACAAGAAGAAATAAAAGCGAAATTTACTGTAGAAGTAAATAAGAACTTGTGAAAACAAACTTGAGAGAATAAAAACAAAATCAATTTTAAATAAACAACTTTTTAATTCATTTTTTTTTTCTTAAACTAAAAATAATTTTAATTAAAAAACGTTAGAGTTATCTTCTCTGGACGAACATGGCCACATTTTCTCCGGCGGAAAAATTTATGTATAAATTATGATTTAATTAACGTCTAGACACAGTTGATTTCATCATATAATGGATTTTTTTTTGTTTTAGCTCATTTTTTTTTTCAATATAAATATAAATAACTGAGATTATTAAGACAAAAAATATTCAAGTACCTTGTAGAGATTGCTAAATTAAAAAAACAAAAATAACTTCCATCTTCTTTTTGTAGATGCGGCTTTTTATCGTTGGTAAGTTGAATGATGTTTTAGAAAAAAAAGCCTCTCATGCTAAACCACTCTGGTCTTTTTGTTTGTTTGTTTCTGTTGACCTAACTTTCGCTTTTTTCCTTTTCTAGTCATCTCCCTACCTTAATGAGTTCATGATTTTTTTTCCGTTATAAAGCATGATTTACGTGAGTTCTCCAAACTTTCCCTTCCCGCCTAAAAAGAAAAAGGGAAAAAACTTCACTTTTTATTCCTACAGAGCTTATTTCCCTTGGCCACACCACAAGTAAGCCATCTAATTTATCTATCTTAGCCAAATAAGAGTAGAAAGGTTTGTCTTGCGCCAAATACCATAGTATGAAAAATCAGCGAAACAATTCTTTTCTTTTATCTGAACACAAATAACCAACTGGTAGGAAATACATAGGAGTCAATCAATCAATCAACGGTCACAGGTGACCCTCGCAAAAAATTCTGGAAAAATTCACAGGTGTTTCTGGATTGAATTTTATTGATAAATCCCAAATATTAGATCTGTATATTTAATAGTCGTAAAATCATAGCATCTTAAAATTTCACTGTAGTCTTGTGTCTTCCTAAATAAGGTTTTCAATGATCTTTTAAAATTCCTACCTTCAAGAATCTTGCATGTACAGATTTGACATTTTTGTAACAGTAGTTAATAATATTTATTGTAGATTACAAAAATATAACCAGCTTAGGTGTGTCTTATGTACTTATATTTTTATAAGGACCTAAATATGGATGAAATACCAAAATACAAAATGATGCTGTCCAATTTGATAGTTTCTCGTTTACAAAGTATGTTGGTTCCATCATTCAAATTAATTTTCCTCTTGTTTATGACTTAATATCTTATTTCTATACAGTTCAAATATTCATTTATGTTATAGGAATGTCAGTATTACTGCTTGAAAATTGCTTGATATTTTAACTTCTTTAAAATTGCTTATTTTCATGACATCAGCAGACTAGTTTGGCAGTTTAAGAAAATTTTTTTATAATTTTACCACATGTCTGAAGACCATATGACAGAAGTTTCATTGTGTCAACAAACTTCTGTCTAGAGATAAAGCATTTTTCTAGAATAACTTGTCATGCTGAAATCATGGCTTTGTAGAAATTAACACCTTATAAATTTGATACATAAGAAAATATAAAACAGAAATTTGATGACAATATAATTTTCTATGCAAATAAACTAGTTTTGGGTTAATTTTAGCTTTGTTTTAAGGAGTTTAGATGCTATGTGCCCTTAAAAATGTTGCTGTCTCTTAATCATGGATGGTATCAGCCAGACCATGGATGGTATCAGCCTGAACATGGATGGTATCAGCCAGACCATGGATGGTATCAGCCTGAACATGGATGGTATCAGCCTGACCTATCCTTTATTTACACTATTTACATTCGGACTAATGTTGTCATTTTTGTCGTTGTTATCACATTTCAGCTGTTGTGCCCTCTGGCCTTCAAGTGTATATCAACCTGGGTTGGGTAACCTACAGGGAATTCTGAGCTGAACCCTTTATTTAATCTATGGGGATAGACTGTTTTTATTTTTATAGTAAAAAATGTCAGTAACAGATTTTAACAGCAACAAAAATAAAATTATCAAAGTTCCCAAGAAAATTAAATTTCAGCATTACATAACTCATAAGGAGTTGATATGCCATTAACCAAACAAACCAACCAACCATTGTTGCTACAGCTTTCAGGGTGGAAAAGAGAGAGAAGAGGATGTAAACAGCAAGTATCTCATTTTTATAGGTGCTTGACAGCATCACCTAATCACTTACTGGCAAAGCTATATAGGAGCTAACCCCCCACACTCTAAACTATGTTTTCTTACACTCCTTCCCAGTCCATTTTCTGCCATCCAGTTACACAAGATCTTTAAGTAGAGGTTACTTAATGTTTTCCCTCTGTCCCTTTGACCTTCAGTATCTCTTGTGAGTATCAAATTCACCAAGCCTTCTTTTTTCATTGTGTCACAGACATTTCAACTGCCTCTTTCCAATTCTAACACTGCTACTAATTTCCTTAAAGATTCCTCATTGCTCACATCCTCCACTCATGGCATTCCCAGCATCCTTCTGTAGAATCACATCTCTGTTGCCTCAAGTCTTCCTCATGAGGAAACTGTCCAGCATTCACTGTGATATAGGGAAACTAATATTAGAGATCATTTTAGCATTATTACTTTGTTTCTAATGAAATTTTCCTCTTTCTTAATACTTCAGAAAACATCTTTTACTATTCCTATGTTCCTTCAGATTTTAGTGTCTTATTTTCCAGTATCTGTTAAAACAATTCTCAGATATTTGAATTTCTGTAGTTGCTTGATGTTGACATCCCCAATTTGTCTCTTGCATCTTGGCTTGTTCCTCTTGCTGACAACCATACATTCTGTTTTCTTATAATTAATAGTTAGTCTTTTCTTCTTGCTTTCTTTTACTACCTCCAATCCATAGCTTGCATCTTAGGTTGTTTGTCTTACTGAAGACTATACATTGTCTTCTTACAAATAGATAGTTAGTCCTTTCTTCTTGCTTTCTTTTACTACCTCCAATCTGTAGCTTACATCTTGGGTTGTTCGTCTTACTGAAGACCATACATTCTGTCTTCTTACAATTAATAATTAGTCTTTGAGATCTTGACATATACACGTTTTGTCTTTCTGAAATAAGATGGCCTAGAGTAAGTATCTTTGTTCAGTAGCACAGATTTGCTTGTTGGTTGCCTGACATTAGTTAGTTGAGCATGACCCATATGAGCGGATGCACTATGCATATCTGTTCATGAGCTGGACTAGTGGAGGGAGTGTCATGGCTGGGTGTTGAGAAATTGGAAGGATGAGGCAGCCAAAGCAACTTGGGAGACACATCTAGATACTTGGGAATGCTCTCCTTTGGAAGACAACTGAGCGAACTGGGTTACCTGACCTGAAAATATTTCTAACTGGGTCCCCCCCCCCACCTGTAAAGGTTATGCACTTCTTTTATCAAAACCTGACACCATATTGTGCACATTTGACTGTGATATATGTGCCTGGCTTATGGCCATTTCATGTTGAAACACTGGTTACTGTACGATTACCAAAGTTAAGCAACACTGAGCCAGGTCAGTACCTAGATGGGTGACTCCTTTGGAATACCAGGTGTTGTAAGTTTTGAAGTTCAGATGGTTTACTAGATAATGGCTCACAATTGTTAATCAGAGTTCCAATTCCATTTGGTTGTTGCTTGATTTTGTTTTGCGGCATACCAACCGTTATGGGTTATTTAATGTGGAAATCTAAACATTTTGGATGCAATTTTAATTTTTAGAGATAATAATGGTTTAGTGATACAAGTTTTACTAATTAACCCATAGCTGGGGAGAGAAGAGGTGAATTCATATCTTTCCCAATGGTATTTGAACATAAGTGAATATAACAAATTCAACTGGACTTGGAACTCGGCTCTCTCTGAGAGAATTCTCCAAAGAGTTCATGATTTGTGACAAGTTTTGTTGCAAATAGATATCTGCCTCATCAGATGTGTCAGCCATAAAATATTGGCCTTTAATTTCAATTACCATTGGGTATTATTCTATTGTAATTTCAATTACCATTGGGTATTATTCTATTGTAATTTCAATTACCATTGGGTATTATTCTATTGTAATTAAGTATCAGACTGTCATTCCCTGGCATGAATCTGCAGATGCTGTGGAGGGGATACAGTTTTGTTCTTTAAACTCTACAATAAAAAGTGACCCCAACAAAATCGGCATCACTTCTTTTTATTAGGAGTTAGAATATTGCTTTGTATTTTTATTACTCCAAACATTATCTTTAGTGGATACCTGTAAATAATATTTAAATATATATAAACAATATGTCAAATTAATTAATACTATACATTAATTCATTATAAATTGTATAGTATGCTTGAGTCCCATGAGGTCATTGCCTAAGCCATACCTCTCCATCAAAAATGACTAAGGTTAATCCCTGATCCCTGTGGGGTTTCTAAAAGAAAGTAGGGGAATAAATCACAGATGGAATCACGGATGGAATCACAGAATCGTTAATCTTAAACAGAATCTGGGTTTTTAATGTAATTTTCAATAATAAATCACAAATTGATTATTTTTTTCAGATTTAAAAAAATTTTTTTCAAAGCTTAATAACTGTCTCTCCAATTTTGTTAAACATTTTAATAACTATGTTATGTTATTGTTATATTTATTTCCTTAAAATTTGTTTTTACAAATTTATTATTTGGTTTGTGGAGTTATTTTGCAGTGGAGGCTTGTATTTGAACTAAATTGGTCCTAAATAGTTCAACGTACAAAACGTTAGGAACTTGATATAATAGGTATTACACAGAGTAATCTTGTGGTTGCTGACTACTTTCGTATTCAACTAACTGTCGACTACTGTCGTCCAACATCGACTGACCCTCGTTTCTCTTACTACTCCTACTTATATTAGGTGGGAGAGTCTATTAACTATAAAATAGGTGTGTTTCACCATAACAGTTTGATTATTTTTACTTGTTTTTTCTTATTTATTTTATTTTTATTTATTTTTTTCGTCTATTCTAACTGGAGTGGTTTGTTAATTCGTTTATTATTTGCTTGTGTTAATTTATTTTACTTGTTTTTTATTATTTTGTTTATTTTTATTTATTCTTTTCAGTTTTCGATTTGTAAGTAATGTAAAAATTTGTTTTCATGTTTGCATTTTGAGATGAGTTCAGATCATTTATTTAGTAGTTTATTTTGGTTTGGGAAGATAATAATAGCTATTGTTTCCTCCAAGCAAAATTTGCAGGTTTTGAATTGATTGCTGTAGGCTGACAATCTTTTTCTTATTTTCCATGATATTTTTTAGTGTGATTTGCATTTTGTTTTTAATCTCCCAGATATACTTAGAAAGCATTGTGCTGTTTGTGTATTTACTATTTGTGAAAGGTGTTTTGTGTGCATAGTTTCTGTTTCCAGGATCCTTCAGTTACCCCTATGTATATTTATTCTTCATTGTCTGGTGATTTTACTGTGGCTTGGTAGATTATATTATTTTGTAAACAATTACCATTTAAGGGACATTCATTCTTTATTCTGCAGTTACACATGGGTTTAATTTCATTGGGTGGTTGATAGTTTTCCTGTTATTTTTATTATTTGTGCCATGTTCTTGGTGCAACTGTAGCAGATTTTTACTGTGTTTTTGTTGAATATTTTGTGTAGAGTGCTTGATTCTGGGAAGTGTTTGTGTAAGAGTTTGAAGAATAATTTTCCTATATTTGTTTTTATTTACTTTTTTACTGTATGTTGGATTGAAACATATGATATTTCTCTTCCTGTTGGCTTTTTTTGCCCTCTGTGTGAATTCATGTGAGTGTTGCCGGGAATTCACTATCTTTTAGGACTGTTTCATAGACTTTTTAGCTTTGTTAAATATCTTTCATTAGAAGAATTGTCAGAAAACCTGCGGTTATTCAATTTTGGTATCTATTTAATTATAGATGGTGGGCGATTGGCAGATGTGTGTATATACAGTGGTTTATCATTGGGTTCTCTGTGAGGTTTATATGTATCTTTTCTTAGGTTGAAGGGAAGATCTAGAAAATCTACTTCATTTAGGTTAGTTTTTTTGTCTATGTCAAATCTATTATTTTTGAAAATCTTTATTATTGCTTTTCTAATTTTGTCTGTGTTTTGTTTCTTATAGTTTCTTCTAAACGTAGCTTTTAGTGATAGGTGCAAGCTATGTTTAGAAGAAAAAATCAGGATAATAAAATATAAAGATCAATGCAAACTATTAAATCAACAGAGAGAACTAATCACAAAATGTAGACATAGAAATAGATTCAAAATTACATAAGAATACATTTGTATATATGTGGGTGTGTATGTGTGCATATAGTGGCATATATGTATGGACATGTAAATGTAAATATATGTATGTATGAAGATATGTACATATATAAGTGTGTTGGAGAGCATGATTTATTCCATTGAATGTTCTGGTATTACCCACAATCTATAAATCTATAATTCAACTAATTTATATTAATCTTAACAGGCTTAAGTTTAAATCCCCTGTCACTTATTAATAATATTGTACACCTGTAGTACAAAATCTATTTACAGTAAATTCCAGAAAAAACACACTCGGGGCCTGTATGAGAAACGCCACATAGTAGGAACTGATATTAAACTACAAACAACGAAAGCTTCTAGGTATAAATAAACTCCAACTCCAAACCACTACCCCCGGAATAGGATACCTTACCCACCACCTCCAACAGTCATTAACACAAGCCCATTCTCATTAAAAAGGTTTCTACCAGAGGAGGAATGACATTGAAAATAAATTTAAAGCAATGCTCTGAGACAGACACTTAGGAGCTGACGATAGCCACGAACAGAATGGCTTGAAATAGACTATCCCATGTTGAGGAAATATTTGTTTTTTTTTGTTGTAAAAAAAAATATATATTTATGTAAATTATATAGAGTATCCAAATGATACCAAATCAGTCAGGTTTAAATCCCGGCTTGAGGCAATCGGATATCTAGCCACACTGATGAGCTGTGTAACAGCAAAACAGTTTGTCTGTGGATGACATATATATATAAAACTGCAAAAGCAAAGAAAGTTGCCCACTTAACAATAAATGTTTAACCAATAACATAATATACAAAGTTAGCATAAATAATAACATTAACACAGATGAAAAATATTATATAGGGCCTCAGAAAAAGAAAACTTTTAAAGAAAGATATCATAACCACAAAATGTCATCTGAAAGAAAAAATACTCAAACAATGCAATCCTATCAAAATGGAGGCAAAAAGAAAACAATATCCCCACTGAAATCAAATAGGAAATTTATAAAAAGAGCAACATCATAGAGTATTGACAGCAAAAGTTATGCTTAGAGTTAAAATGAGCAATAATTAGTTTTAAAAACCAAAATAAACTCTTAAACCAGAAAACTGAAATAATGGGTAAATATTTGCTTTGCCATCAAAGCACTAATTCAAAATAAACAAATAAATATAAATAAAATAAATACAAACTTTAAATAAATAAAAGAAACAAACATAAACTTAATTTATTTATAAACAAATAAATGAACAAATATGAAAGGACACACCTACATGTGTATGTGGACATGTAAATACACAAACACCAAAAAGTGAACAAACCTAATCCCCTAATATGTATACCTATATATGCATGCAAATAGATGTGTATGTGTGTGTATACATAAGCATATAGATACAGACATATTAACATAAAATCTAATAATAATAATTTTAATTATAAATTTAATCTCCTACAATTAATACTTATGATACCAGCAAACCAAATTAAAAACTGAAATAATAGCAGTGAACTTATATAAATGTGTATGTATGCATGTATAAGTATTTACCATTTAAGCATTAATATCATTAGTATTATATATATATATATATATATATATATATATAATATTTATTACCTAAACATTAATATCAATTATTTATATAAAAAAATGAAATACAATTTCCCTAGCAAATAAAACTAAAATGCCCATGAATGAAAATAGATAAATAAATAAAAATAGACCACATGTCTAGATCTGGAACAAGTCAGCTACAGATGAAAAAAAGGGGAAAGGCCAAATAAGCAAATGTAGAAGAAAAAAAAAACAAACAAAAAAAAAAACACAAAAAAACAAAGAAAAGGGTAAAATGATCATGATGCATTGCTGGATGCATATGTGTGAACACAAAAATGCACAAATGGATGCATGACTGCACACAGACAAGTGTACATACAAACACAGCAAATACAGAAGAAAACTTACACCAGTGTTAAATGTGTATAAAAGGAAAAAAATTGAGAAAATACAAACAGTAAATTGCTTATACAACCCCTGAAGAGTAAACGGACAGTCCCCGCCACGAAACTCTGGAGTTGGGATGCTGAAGGCAACATCAATCAGCTGACAAATTTTACTCATATTAATCCTATATATATATATATATATATATATATGAAGAATAAAAACATAGTTTTAACATATACTATATTTATGAATAAAGATGCTCAATATCAGCGATAGAGTGCATATAAATATAAGAATGGACACTAAGGTCAACAGTGAATGGCGACAGTCTGAT